AGTGGCGGATACTTCTATCATTGAAGGGCTTGAAGGATAAGGTGCTTAAATGCAATTTTTGAAAAAAATTGAGATATTAATTATTTCAAGTATAACTAGTCCAAATGCATATTCTATGAAAAATTCGATCCCTAATTTCATTTATCAAGCATTAAAGAGTCAGTTTGAATTCTCTTCCACCATGAAGATCCATATAATTTCGAGACTTTAAACAAGTATTTCTCGAAATAGCAAAAAGTGCACTAATTCGCCTTGTCCTCCAAGCCCCTCAACTGCTCCAACTAGAGTTGCGGTTATATTAGTCCCAAGCCGTTGGCAACATTGTTCCTCTCACCTCGAGATTATTTTTAACTAGCATTAAAATCTCGAAGTGGTTTTCTCTTGGGAAACCTCACCTTAATTTAAGGCTTAATCATGGGCGCACGGAAATTTTCATTCGCTTTTTGATGAGGATTCGTCAAATGGTGGGCTTTCAAAAGGTACTCAAGGCCACATCATTTATTTTACTTACAATAGTCCTTCAACTCAGCTCACGATTCAATCTGTTTTTATATGAAAAAGGCGCCCAGAATCTGAATTGGCATTATATAACCTACGTGCACCCACCATGATTTTTGACACGGTACTGTGCTTGGTATAAATCCTTCGGAATATTTTTTTCTCCAATTTATTGAGGGGACATCACTTGAAATTCAGATGAGTTTCACGCAGGTTTTGAGAGGAAGGGTTATTCGACTGATAGATTCATCCATTTTGCTTGTCGAAAATGCTTCTAATTCGTGGCGGAATGGAAAAGAAGAACAATCTGGAAGCAATAAATCATTTTAATCTCTCATGATTTGGTTTCATCTTGAGTTTTTTGAGTGGCTCAGAAAGTTTTAATGTAGGTATTTTACAATTTGACGGCTGGATATCCTCCCGAATTTGAAAGCATCAAAATTATAATATTATGAGACTTTGACGCTCTGTGAAGTTCTCAGTGGTTTCTCTCATTGAAGTCAATTAATAAAATTTGGCTACTGATGATATCACTTGATTCCTTTTCGAAAAACACGAACCTCTCGAAATTTTGAATGAGACTGTTTGAATATTTTAAGAGTCATGTTGAATTTTTTTTTAAAAATTCGAACAAATATAAAAAATATTATGTTAAGTTGGGTCGAGTTAGGTTGTCCGGATGACGTCAAACGCTTCTTATCAGCCGATACACTAATATTAGAGCACTGCAATCATTCGAAGTCGTAACTTAACTTCAGATGTATTTGATTATTTGATGAAGTTTAAAAAATTATGAGACTCCAATGCAATGCCTTGATACCACAACTAATTTGGACTAAATTTTGCAATTTGGACCTATAATTTCCGGCCCGGTTTAAATATAACGTATGTGCCATTGGTTTCCCTATGCACATATAAGTGTTTTTTCAGATAAGCCAGAATATATTGGTCCAAATTGAAAAGTGTAGTCCATTTATTCCTTCGTTTCATTTTGATCCCAGGAAGATCATGGGTCAGTGGAACAAAACTGTGATAGTTTTTGACAAGCTACAAAAGAAATGAAAGGCTTATAACCTTGGTGTTGCAAGATGCGCGACATATCAAACGGTATCAGATGCAGACGCATTGCTGCGACGATGTGTTTGTGAACGAGAACTTGATGCAAAAATGAATTTGAATTCCGCAGCCACTGTGATCAAATTAGTACTGCTCGACAGGTGCATGGCAATTTCGGTATTTGTCAATAAATATTTCCATGAAAATTATGCATCTGTAGACAACCACCCCATTGAAATGTCTGCTGATGGGCGTCGTGTATAGTCAGGCCATCTGTGAAATGAAAAAAAAAAAAATCCAAGTCGGTAAAGCCGTACAGAATTGAGATATTCCAACTTTGAAAAAAAAACTCCGGCCGTTGAAGCCGTACTTACGGGCTATTTAGACATACCGCCCGCGTTCCGGGCTCAGAGGCCGGAAGCCTCGGGCGTAGCACCCGGAGTAGTCGAAACAACGGCTCCAGCACCCGGAATTTTCAGCCTCAATGTCCGAAACAGTTGGTATGTCTATACAGACCGTAACTTGTTTTACAGCGGAGTACATTATTTTAGCCGTTTGATTAATTTTCGAGTACTCTTTCCAAAATTTAAGTGATACTCTTTCGAAAATATAGTCTCGAACTCATTACAAGCCTTGGCGGAACCAATAAAGGACGTGCGATACTGTTGGTGGATATATTCGACTTGAATCTCGCCTTCAATTTCAACGCATAAGCCGTAAATCTACTTATGAGAGTGCGAATACTTATATTTAAACCTTACAATTATCTCTCCTCAATACAGACTACAGAGTGGTCCAGGGTTAAACGTCCAGACTGCAGAAACGTGTCCTATGGGTCAAAATGAGACTTTTCCTTTTATAAAGTTTTTCCAAAAGTGCCTCCGGCTACGCCCCCCCGCTACAAAAAAATTCAGAGAGAAAATCGTTCTTCCTGAATTTTGGCAACAATCGTGAACCAAACATCATGAAAATTTGTACTCCCCTGACTTTTATGCCCTGAAATCACAAATTAGGTATCTAAAAAAAGAATCTCAATTTACAACAAAAAAGTCTTATTTTGACCCAAACACGCTCCTGCAGTCTGGCCGTCTAACCCTGGATCCCCATGCATAATTTCCTAGAGCTAGTAGACAATGCCTAAACCTGATGCCAGATATCGTCCACTTGAGGTTCGCCTTCAATGTTGCTGTATAGGCAAGAAACACATCGACGAGCGCGAATAGTGAGTTGTTCTCATGCTTGGATTGAACCGATAAACGATGTTGTTAACCTATCAGTAAGTGTCGACCATCAACTAACTCATTGGTAGGTATCGTCCAACTTATCGTCCACCTTTCCTTTGCCAAATATGCAACAAACATACCGCAGAATGCTAATCATTTGAAAAACACTCATTAATCTTGCTCTATGAAATGTGATAGAACGCTTGTGTAAGTCCGATTTAGCACAGGGAAGAATTTCATGAGCGCCGCCGCCCGCAGCGCACTATGGTCCAAAACTCAAGAATAGGAAGAAATAAGTCAGATAATGACTGAAACATCACGAGAGTTTCGTTACTGATGTTTTTTGAGTCGCTAATTTAGAATTTGATGTCAAATTGCCTACATTTTAACACCCTGACTTATTAATTGCGGGCAAGTTTATGGCACGCTGCGGCGCGGCGTGCTGAACGCACACTGACGCCTACAAACCTAAGGGGATACTTCAAGCATTGCGCAATGCGTGAAGTTGACGCCTACAAACCTAAAGGGATACTTCAAGCATTGCGCAATGCGTGATGTTGACGCCTACAAACATAAAGGGATACTTCAAGCATTGCGCAATGCGTGAAGTTGACGCCTACAAACCTAAAGGGATACTTCAAGCATTGCGCAATGCGTGAAGTATAGGTTTGTAGGCGTCGCGTCAGTGCGCGTTTCACGCAAGCAGGACGCCGCAGCACCCCCGACGCGGGCGGGTGGTGAACGATTTCCTGTGGGGAGAGCTCCCTGGCGGAGAAACTCGGATATCGTGTAATTTTTTTTTTAATTTTCGACTTTTAAAATTACGCACTGGTCATGTGAAGTAATAAGTGAACTCTCAACGCTAGATGAAGTGTAATAATGAAAGGCAGGTCGTGCGCCATGCGCGCTGCGGACGGCGCAGTTCATGAAATTCTCTCCTGTGTTCTGTCGGCGTAAGTCGTAGAAAAAGGGATTTGAAGGGACATGAAGGGATCCTGTCGGTGGAAGCGGGTGGTCGCAATGAACAGAGGAGGTAGGCAACAGACTTACTAATGGCAACCCACGAGAGACCGTATAGTCAATCCATCTTTTTATCCCTTAGTCGATGGGAATCAACCATTTCAACCAATAGGATCGCTCCATACTCCCTATGTCCTCGTTGTCCATAGCTTTGTCTATCAATTTCGTCAATCATCCCGCAGGTCACACTTTTCCTCAGCCTCTGATCACTCTCTCCAAAAATCTACGTCGTTTTCCTCCAAAGTTTAAGTTTTTTCCCCGCAAAACTCTATAGTGTTTCCCCCAAACTTTACGCTGTTTCCCTCAAATACCAAATCATGTTCACTGGAAAAAAAAAACAAATTGGATCTAGAGTCCAGACTCTTAAAAACATCGACAAGAAAAAATACTCTTGATTCAATCAGATTTAAGCTTATATCAAGAACCAAGCCTCTTAATTCGAGCGGATTTCCTTTTGATTGAAGCTTAAATCTGATTGAATCAAGAGTCCTTTTTCTTGTCAATGTTTTCCAAAGTCTGGACTCTAGATCCAATGTGTTTTTTTTCCAGTGTTCTCTTCATTTTTACGGTTCCCCCTAACCCATGCTTTATTTTCCCCTGAACTCAGTTTCTGAAATCTTTAATAGTCTCAAGATTTTATTCTCACGTTTCATCTAGAGTACCTACATATATTGAGAGAGTATGGCCACTGGAGTTACCACCTCTGATTGGCTCAGCCATCTTAGGCTGAATGGAGCCCTTAGGACCCAAAAATGGCGGACGCCATAAAGTTAATGTAATGCAAAATGATTCAAAATGTAGTTGTCTTTGCTTACCGTAACGAGAACTTTACCCAAATGCACTATTGCGACTTTTTTACATATTTTTAAGGCTAATCGTGTGCAATTTTTGAGAAAAATGATCTTAGATGTAGTATGGTTGGCAGCAAGTGCTGTTGGTGATAACCGTCAAAAGTTGGCAATGACCCCCCTCCCACCCTCAAAAACCAAAACAAAGCACCGCCATTTTTGGGTCCTAAGCCTCTCCATGGGACCCAGTGGCCATACTCTCTTAATATAGGTACTCTAGTTTCATCCAGTAATTTTCCACGCAACTCAGACGAGCATGTTTTGAATTGATTTGACAACGCAGAGAGCGAGGATGGACAGTGCCGAGCCCGGCGCGGACCAACGGGGTCCGCGCGGTGCGGACCACGGGGTCCAACAGCGCCATCCGCGATGTAGGTTAAAGCGGCCGGAGCCGGAGCAATGTAGGCCGACTATAAACTGGTGTTCGTCTCCTCTGCCCCGACAGTTCGTGCTAACCTCTGTCGTGGATATAACTACTCCCTGACCGTCGCTTATTTTCAAAGGTACGCTACTCCCTTACAAAATTTTTCGCCGCTTCTTTTTTTGATAACTTTTTTTTCCACTTCTTCGTTTCGACTTCGCTCGCAGTGTCTTTTTCACCGCGTTCATGTTTTTTTCTGGCAGTTTTCCGACGAGTGCTGTTTTTCACACGTTTTGCTCTTAGAAAAATCGGGGCTTTTTTCCCCATCGCGATTGAATTTGAAATCGTTGACGTTGGAATTTCATCGAATTTAGTGGCAATGTGTGCATTTTGATTTTTAAATTGTATTTATTTTTTATTTAAAAAAATATTCGGACTAAAACTTAGACAAAAACAAATTTAAACAAAATTTGGCTCGGTTTTCATTCAAAATTGGTTTCCTCAATTCTTTCGAGAAATGTTGAGCATAAGCTTTAATGCTCACCTCTGTGCTCAAAATATTCAAATCCAATGTGAAGTGTATGTTTAAGGGTATTTGGCACCTTAAAATTTTGATAGACATTTCTTACATTAAAATTTGTAATTGCGTATGGTGTTTCATATTTACTTAAGAGTTTGCACACACACATAAAAAAGACTGCACGCTTGATTTTGAAACAGCGGGCCTCTGAAAAAAATAAAAATAATAGCACAGCAATTAATGTCTTTCAGTTGTTACACAATTCCTAAACATTGGTCCCTTTCGGGCGAAACTTAATTCCCAAAAGTTTTTATTTTGCTTTCTTTTTACATATTTGAAGTTTAACTATACGCACTTGTTTCTCACACGACCGCTAAAATTAGTTAACACACCAGTTTTAAACTTTTCAGGTTTCGTTTTTTAAACAAGCAAAAAAAAAAAATCGAACTCAATATCAACACAAGCTAAATCCATTCTACTGCCAATAAACATTTTTTTACGTTTAAAATTTTCCTTTTGTTTATTAAACGTAATTTTTTACGTGAGGTCATCAACATCCTCACAAACGCTACTTACGTTCCTGCTAATAGATAAGAAATGTCATTTAAGTTCCAATGTCGGATCAGCTACATAATAAGCCGTATTGAACCTAAATAAATGATAATAATTAAAAAATAAGAATAACAATGTATCTTCCTGAACTTCTTGATTATATGATGAAGTATTAGTAGATTCATACTTTCTCTATGCGCCGTCGTGTATTTCCTCCTCGCTACTCTCACTCCAACGCCATTATTTGATATCCATTCATTATGAATTAGAATTAGATATCGGCTACTTCATTACTGATGCACTGATGCGGTGTTCTCTGATTGAAAGGAAATGTTCTCAGGTGTGTGTTGAAGACGGTGTTAAAAATACGTTGCAATGCGTGCCACTGTGTGCTATGTCTTTGACGCTTGCCAGGAGAAACGCTTTGAATCTACGAGGAAAGTTAGTCGCGTCTCGCGCGCAGAATATTCTATTCGAAATTAAAGCTGCATTTAGAAATCCGGACGCAATTTGCGCGGTTATTTTACCTTTTTAGCCACCGATGCTTCCTTGGCACTTTCGCTCTGGGTTTTGTTGTCTGGATTAAAATGAAACAAAAGAGGCTGCGAGGTGAATATATGCATCATGCATCGGTCACTTTCCAAAAGTCAAGTTTTAGTGAAAAATCTTTGCTGAGATAATTTTTGACTTTTAAAAAAAGATGAAAAAATAAAAGGACTATTAAGAGCTTCCCTTTCATTCCCTGATGAAATGGTTAGAGTTCTCTGCAGTCAATATTTTTGAGCAAATACACGGAGAAAAAAACCTCGTGCATGGGACCCGAAGTTTAGGTCATATGGACCTCTGAAGTTTTCAGATTGAGCATCTGTACACTTAAGGTCTAGCTGTCGAGGTTCGGATCACACATCTGAAACTTCAGTTCTTACATCTGAAGTACTTCAGATGTGAGAACCGGAGTTTTTCGGATGTGAAAACCGATGTACTTCAGATGTAAGAACTGAAGTTTCAGATGTGTGATCCAAACCTCAGCAGCTGGACCTTAAGTGTTCGGATGCTCAATCCGAAAACTTCAGAGATCCATATGACCTAAACTTTGGGTCCCGCGCACGAAGTTTTTTTCTCCGTATACAGCTATAGCTTTTTTTTAAAGATACTTATAATTAAGCTCATCGTAGCTTTTTTCCGCAACTTCGTGTAAAAACGATGTAAACTGCTTTTAAAACTAAAGCAAAACTACTAGGACGCATTTTTAAAATTGGCACTTGCCATTATTAGCAATGTTGGAATCCTTATTTTTTCTCAATTTTCGGTGTTGGGAATGTATAATTTTTTGAGCAGCCATTGAATACTTGACGAAGGAAGCACAAAAACTTAAAAAAAAATATCTCGTCTCAGTAACATGGTCTCTTGTCGTAAATTAGTTCGGCTGAGATGACACCAGTACATTTCAATCGATCTGACCGAACCTAATCCTTGTGTTTCACCATTAAAAGGCTTCTTTGACGTTTTCCGAACTTGAAAAGAGGAAGTAGAATAAATATGAGATGGGTTTGAAGATTATGCGCACTAGAATTTTACCTATCATCTTTGAGGTAGGACAGAAAGCACCCTTCGCGTAGTATAGTTACTTCTTGAGAATCCGTATTTTACGTTGACTAAAAATATTACTCTGCAGTGAATTACGTTGAGCTACACCAGGTGCTCTTTGCTAGCTTTGTTTTTCCATTCAAGTCTCCATGTCTGATGGTAATTAATAAAAGACTAGAGAACAGAGATAAAACTTCCAAGGAAGTAGTGTTTCCACAAGAATACACGCAGAACTCTAGTTTTTAGACGCTGGAACGTAACTACATCTCAACGATACAAAATTTCACTCGTAAATTGTATTTTTACCAGGAGGGAATTGAACATTTATGACTGAAAATATTCCTGATTTTTCTTTCGGTTCCCTCGCCACACTTAACACAATTTTTGACCAACAAGGCAGTCATGTAAAATTGAAAAATTTACGAAAATTTAAAAACTTTTAAAACAAACTTTAAAATCACTCACTTGCATAAACTTTTCAATTTTTGAAGCGGACGCGTTTCGGAGGTGTCCCTGGTGAGTCGCGCCGAGGATGGAGGTCAGGAACACCTCCGAAACGCGTCCGCTTCAAAAATTGAAAATGTTTACGCAAGTGAGTGATTTTAAAGTTTGTTTTAAAAGTTTTTAAATTTTCGTAAATTTTTAAAATTTTTAAATTTTACATACTCAACGACTTGTGTACTGATTCAAACTCCTGTTACATTTTCTCATGCACAGTCATATTCCGGTAAAAATGTGAATTCTTTGAGTCTCTTTTGCAAACTCAGAGTGCGGAGTTACGTTCGTCCGTCTTGGAACAACGGATCGTCACTAAAAGGAACCGCTAAGGAAGAACGCCGTATGAACATTCGAGAGATGCCAAATTTCTTTTTTGAAAATATTTATTTTTGAAGAAAGTTCTGAATATTTTTCCTTGAAATTTTCAGACTTTTTAGATCAAATTACGAACGAAATCCTGAGAAAGATTGGAAGATAAATATTTACGGATTTTCCTGAAAATTTGTAATTTGTCGAGGGAAATTTGGCAACGTCTGATAGCTCATACGGCGTTTTTCCTTCACACAGCAGGACAGCTTCGGGCGATTCAGAAATGAAATACAGCGACATGGCTCCAAGCGCTGTACATTCTGGCGGCTTGAAAGCAGTTCAACGCTGGACTCGACTAGCTAGGGCTCTAAAGTTCTGTTGTGCCGTAGAAAAAAAAACGTACACACCTAGGATTTCAATTGGAGATACGTCTTTTTGCACCTCGTGAGCTCGGGGTCCGATAGTGAACGTGACCCCAAGAGGCAGTATCTCCCATATTCGACTTAGACACGCGCGCCCGGGCTGACCGAGCAGAAACCGCGAATTTGCTGGGGATTTACAGTGAGGATACGCGGTTTTTACTACGAGGCAGGGCCCGGTGCAGCGGTGTCGAAAGGGCGCGAGCGGGCAAATCCAGCAATAGATCATTAAACTCGCCGCGATTACGCGCTACACGCATAATGTTGAATCGCTCGTACGGGTATACGTATACGCAGTCCATGGCACTGTTGCCACTTGCCTCAAGCTTGACCTGTCGAAAAGTTTGCACATTTTGTTTTGAAGTTCGGAACTAGTTTTTGCACCTGAAATTTTTAATTTGTCGATTTTGTTGAAATTTGAACTTTTGCTTCGATATCTTTGAAACGGGACATTCCAAGATCCTGATGGATTTTCGGGTTCCTCAAGGATTTTTAATTTCAAGGGTGATTTTTATTTTTATTTATTCATCCCCGTGTATTTACTCTATCCAACTAAGCCAACCACGTGGCTGAAAATAATTTTCCTGTTGATTTTCCGCTACATGCATGGGGGGAAATAGCGGGGGGGGCAGCCCCCCACAATTCTGCTCGGCCACTTCCAAAAGATGTCAAGGACCCAAGCTACTAATTAGTTTTTAGGTGAAAGGCACAGGGAATGTAATAAATAGCTCAACACTTGCTTTCAAGAGAGTCAAATTAAGATGAATTATATTAAAACCCACAGTAATATTTGATATCAGCAAAATTTCTATCATCTGTAATTTCATTCCATTTAATTTGTCATGAAGAATGGCTTAAAATTGCTCTCCAGACGTTCCAATTTTCAAATATTTTGGGATGGTCCCCCAGAACCCCCTCTGCAGCTAGGGGAGTCCCCCTAGACCTCCTCAGCCCAAGTTCTATATCCTCCTGTGCCCCCCTTCCACAGGAAAATTCCTAGTTCTGCCCATGGCTACATGTGAACAGAGATATTCCTCTTCCAAAAATGACAAACTTAGTTAATTTGAAGTAATTTCCGGAAACGGGCGCGTACATTATACTAATTCGGTTCCTATTTTGAAACTTCAGATATTGCATGGATCAAGCTGTCTTCAAGCTCGTTCAATCAAGCTGTTTCAGGCTCGAAGTCCCCGTTCAACTTTCGCTCCCGAGCCCCAATTTCTTTTCAAAGTATCCGTGGCACCAGTGCGCTCAATT